ACCGGGGTATACATTCGGGACAAGAGAAAGGTGAAGGAGCTCTCCATTCACTTCAGGAAATCAGAAGGTGGCAGTGCAGCAAAATTAGCAGAAGAAAACAGATTGGTAGCAGGTGTTTGGGAAGAGGAAGGGCATCCATATAACTAGAAGACAAGGATTTGGAAGGTGTCACCACTCAACTGCAAGAGAATAAGAGGAAAGCTACACAGCTGTGGGAAAGAAGGATGGGGTGTGTAGGAACATTGGGATCATGAGATTCTGAGAGCTAAACATCTAGAAAAGAGAGGAAGTAGGGGAGCTTACCTGTTCACAGAGTCAGAGACATGAGAGGGCCTCCCCTCCCACCTCTCCTTTCTCCTCTGTGCCCTCCTCCCCTAGTTCAACCCTGTTCATCCTTTGGGGAAAGTTCTGGTTCTTCTGGTAGTAGGGAGAAGATGGCTTTTGTCGGCATCTGGCTGTGAAGGGGCCAAGGCGGGAGAAGGTGGGAAATATGCCCTTATTTGGCTGAGTAGAGACCAAGTTGATCTTTTCCCCCATTCCATGCCCAGAGATCAAAGGCTCAATACTGCCCCCCCACACACACACCACCTAGTCTCCCATGGACAGGATGGAAGGCAACTCCACAGGTTAGGAGCCTTCCCAAGGCACAGTAAGAAACTTGAGGAAGAAAGGGCCCAAGGGGTAGGGACTGTGTGGAAGGATAGAATATCTGGCCTGATGACATAAAGGGGGCCTCCTTTTAAAGATAAGAGCTGAAGATAGGAACAAAACTTTCAGAAGAGAATTATAGACCAAGTGTCATCTATGCTCAGAGACAACCCCAGGGTCCCCCTTCCCCATCTTCGATGTTCTTGCCATGCCCCCTCTACAAACTGCCTTTCCTTTAAACCTCAATGCTGCTCACCATCACAGGAACACCTGACAGGCCCTACTAAAGTAAGAGAGAAGACAGATGACATCAAAGTGATAGAAACTAGTCTTAAGGCATTAGAGAAACAGTTTAGAGGAATAAAAATCAAATTGTCAACTTTACAGGATAACTAACCATGGATATATTGCAAGAGAACTGGTCTTTGAACTTCATTCCAACTGAATGCCCTGAGTAGGAGAGTTTTGAAAAATTCAGCCCTTTTCTGTCTACAAACATGTCCCTCAAATTTACCCAACCTCCAGATCAGGTTACCCCTCAGAATGTCCACTATCTAGCAACCACAATACTTTGAAACTCTATTTCATTCCATCTCAGAGACTCAAACACTCTCTAGATACAGAGCACCATTTTCCAGGTTCTGAGACTGCAGACACTGCAGGCAACATGCCTACCACACTCAGATCCTGGGTACACCCAGAGGAGAAATCTGTTGATACACATAACCATTTTGGGAAGGGTTGGTTCAGATTGCAGCCAAGGGAGGCAGGTTAGACTTCAGGAGGCACCTTTCTCCTGGGAGCAGGTTAGGACACAAGGAACTTAGCTTAGGAGCAACTCTGGAAACACACACATACACACACACACTCTGTCTGGACTTAGGGAAGAATGATTCTGAAAGGCAGATGCAAGAGGCAGAGGAACATGGCTCAGAGAGGAGAAAAATTTACTAGGATAAGAAATCCCACAAAGGCCCACACGGAGACCCCTTGGAGCCTCTGTTCTAACCATTAAAACCTGTCTTTGTATCCCAAATCTCCAACACCCAGGAAGTAGAAGAGAAAAGAGGAGTGGTGATGAGTTGGGGTATTAAGGAAAGTGGATAGGTACCGACCTGTAGTTTATAAGATGGGGAGTGGAGTAAGGACTAGAGAATAAGCTGGGGGACAAATAACCAGAATGGGTCCAAACAAAAAGAAGGCAGAGATGATGGGAAATGTCCAGGAACAAGGGAATACACCAGCAGGGATAACTGGACGTGGGGCAGAGGAAATGGGAGGAGCTAGGTCAAAGGGTCAGAAGGAAGGGGTAGAAAGGTAATAGATATATAAAGGAGCCACCAGGTAGAAGAGAGGGAGACAAGCAGTGGGCACCAGAGAGGGGACTAATATAGGAGAAGGACAGAAGGGGGACTCATATAAGGAACGTACACCATATGGGGGGAAAGATATAGGTGATGGACAGCAGAGGAGGGAGGGGGAATGGAAATAAGGATTGGAGGGGTGGGGGAAGGGGGTGAAAGTGATGAAGTCAAGAGAGCGGTTAAAACCCCAGGAATTTCGTCGCATGGTCAAGAGCCTTAATGAGGGTCAGAGTCTGTGGCAGGACCCTAATCTGGCCCCTACTTCCATCACTCAGTCTTACTTGTATCTGCACCCCCCTCCCCACAGAAACATAATTTGGCCCTCCCCCCTGCCCTGATCTCCCCTCCCCCAACTCATTCCTTCTCTCTCCTCTCTTCCCTCCATATGGACCCTCCACCCCCCCCACTGCCTCCCTCTCTCTCCATCTGGCCCCTTCTCTCCCTCCATCCTCCTCTCTTTTTCTACCCCTTACCATTCTCCGATCCCCCCACCTTACTCTCCACCCATCTTCTTGGCTTCTCTTTTTACCCTATGTTTTCATTCCTTCCTCCTAACCCCTCTCTTAAGACTCTGTCCCTCTGTTTCCTTGATATTTCCTCATCACTCAGCTCCCACCCCCAAATTATTTCTGCAGCTCTTCCCCAACCTAATCCTTCTACCTTCCCACCCCTTTCTGGCGCTTTCTTTCCCCTTCATCATTTTCCCCTCAGCCCCTCTTCAAGGCCCTTTCCCTGGCCCCTTCATCCCTTATCTCCCCTTATCCCTCTGGCCGCCAATCCCTCCTTCCCCGTTGCTCCCACCCCTGCCTTCCCGGTCCTCCCCTCTCCCTCCATTTCAGCCGCTCTCCTCCCTG